CTTACCTTCTCCGTCCCGTTTTTCTCACCTCTACTCTATCCCTCTCGCTCCCGCCACTCTCCTCCACTTACTCTGCTTCACTCCACCCCTTCTTACGTCCACCCGTACTTCTCTTCCCTCTTTCACTACTCTACCTTTCCTAAATCCTCTCTTTTTCTCGCACTCACACACCACAATACCTTTCACTCACGCTGCCGGAAACGGAAGTCCCCTTATTACTTCTAGTTTTTATTACATTAAAAATGTATAAAACGTTTTTCATTATTCATTACATATTATATTAATTTCGTTTTGTTTTGTAAATTAATTAAAAAAATTTTTTAATTAATATAAAAAATGTTTATTTATAATTATATTTTATAATTGCATTTTTATTTTGTAAAGAATACTGGCGAGGTTTTTGGCAGTTTTTCCTTGCCCTTGCAACAAATGTTGGTATTCTGTGATTTTCTGTCAAATAAAGTCTTTTTTATTTATACTAACAAATGTGTTTTGCTTGATATCCCTCTGTATCACTTTTTTAATTTAATAAAATTTTTAATCGTATAACTACGTTTGACTATATTTATATATGTATATATATATATAAACTTTTTAAAGTATTGAATACATTTTTATATATTAATGTGTATAATGTAGTAATTTATATAGTTATATGCAGACAAAAAGATGTGTCGTTGTCAAAACGGTCTACCGCCGGTAAAAAATTACCATTTAGAATTTTCTTTAAGAAAATTTCTTACGGGCGACTAGCGATACACCTATTTGTTCGTAGTAGGTACTTCAGTGAGCCTCAAATCGACGCGCATGCGCTAAAAAGCGCGACCATTCTGGCATCACTGTTTGAAGTCACTAAATACTATGGGAGTGACGTAGCGTGGGGTCATCATCTCTGCTAACATACGCTGCAGGCTCAAAATGCTACAAAACGGCGAAAAAAAATCGTAGATCAATTTTCGACATCTCATTTTAAAGAGTAGGCTTTAATCTTCAAATTCATGCTTATGTGAGCCGGGAAATAAATTTTTGCAACTCTGTAGAGTCGTTTGAGTTCAAAATTTTCGAGGTTTAAATTCTTCTTTAAATTTCCACCTTTTTTTTGTTAAAGCAGGAGAATCCTTTATGGATACCCGGGACCCCCCTGGGAGGGGGTTTTGTTAACTTAACCCGGGTTATGTGGGACTGCCCCTCTATCAGCGAGGTGCGCGCCAAAATGTAGTTTGGCGCGCGGGCTTACCCACTAAACTCTTGCGGTGGCCTGCGCGGTGCTTTGACTTTTGGGGGAATGGCCGGGCATTGACGGAGTCATTCCTTCCAGTCCGCCCCCCGCACCGGCCCGTCGTTGGTCTGGCGGGCCTTCGCGCGCCCTCCCCCCGTGGGGGGGAGGGTGGGCTCCCGGTAGGGGAGCCCACTACTCTATTGGACGGGAGAGGCGGCCACCTCTCCTGTCCGCCTCCGAAGGAGGCCGGGCCGGACGGGAACCCCAGCCCGTCCGACCCAGGCCAGCTCCCCCGATGTTAGTGGGGGAGGGCCTGCTCGTCGCCACCATCCGAGCGGCGATGTGCCTGCTGTGAGGGGAGGGATGTCGCCCGCGGTCTTGCGGGCGACCCCTCCCCCGCCCGTCAGGGCGGTGCAGGCGGCGACGAGGTGAGAGGAGGAGCAGGGGCAGCGGCGCGGGCGAGCATCCTTGCCCGGCTCCGCGTCATAGGGGGGGGGAAGCTGGGGGAGATGTTACACCCCCGCCTCTACTTCTTCCTCCCCCGCCTCCCCGCCGCCATCCCCCCGCGGCGGGCCGGGCCCGGGGTTGACGTCCCCGAGCCCGACGCCGCCGCTGTCTTTAAATTTCCACCTCGCTTCCTAGTGTAAAACCATCGTCGAGGAAAATCAACTTTGGAAGCGAAAGTAGAGGCTTTGCCCTTTAAAATGTGTATAGAAAAATTGTTGTAAAATTTTATTTCACGAAGTTATAACAGATAAAAGATCGACAATTTTTTGGCAATTGTTCCGGATTCATTTCTGAATCTCGGTCAGTTCGTTGCCGGCGTGATGGCAGCATCAACCGGGTCGGATCGTGCAGCGCCGCAGGAGCGCTGCGCGCGCATGCCCGATCGTGACTCGAGGCGACGGCGCTTCGTCACGGCCGTTACCGGCACCTTTTGGCTCATGGCAACCGTACCGAGTACACGCGTCGTGAAGTGCAGAAGATCTTTGTAGTGCTCTGGTGGACTTTCTCATCCGAGAACTGACTCGGTGTGAACATTCAGTGAACACTTCGCAGTGCTACACATTTCGGACATACGATACAGCATCTTCGGCAGCGCAAGCTCACCACGCTTCGCACGCCGGCGTAGCGTGGACACGGCTCACGGGCATCCGCATTCACGAGGCCGGCTTGAGATAAATACTATCGACCCGTGCAAGTGATTAAGAGACTTCTCATCTCCGTTCTGTAATTGACTACTCGAACTGTAAGCTTTTATACTTATTAAACTGACACGGTATTTTACTCAAACGCCAAGAGTGTTCGATCACGTGATTACTACCCTCGCACGCGTGCATCCGTTCCCCGAGTCTCTCGCCGCAAAGCCCTCTCACCCTGCTTCCATCCGCAGCGGTCCAGCGAGCTCTCCCAAAAGAGAAACGCTAACAGCAATACTTTAGTGATCTTTAATTTTGCTGTTGAGTGTATTATATAATCCAGTCTAATTGGAGTCCTTTTTTATCTCGCTCAGAACTATTATATAATATTCTCAATAAAATTTTCGTTTATTATGATATTACTTGTTTCTTTGTTCTCCATTTTCTTGTTTGTTGATTGCTGAAGTGAGTTTCTTGTTATTTTTCTTTTGTTTCATCCCAATTTTTCCTACATTATCCTGTCTCTTCAAATATATTTTTTCATATCTTGACGATCGTTGATTCTTCAATAAAGCCTTTCACTACATGTTTAGCCTGTAATGATCAAAAAAGTTCGAAAAATGATAAGTTTTTTCTATCGAAGACATATCAAATTCGTTGATGATTAACAATTTGCGGAAAAATAATCCGAAGAATCGGAAATTAGAAGAATCGAACCACATTCCATCACAGAGTAAAATATACAGAAACTGTTACCAAGTTAGTAATCAATAAAAAATCATCTGAAGATCCCAGGCGGATGATGATCCAGATACACCTGATATCTCGATTTATCGTGAAGGTATTAATTCTTATTCACGATGTACGTGTAGCTGCGAAAACCCCCCGAAGTTGATCTCAGTTTCTCGAATTATCCGTTGCAAGCTGCTCATGGATTATAAATTCTTAACCAAAAATGATGCTCACATGTGTAACAATCATGTCGATAATTATACATTTTGGTCACTTGTAAAGTAAATTAGAAAAGTAAGACTGAAGAATAAAAAACAATCAGTGATCTGATGTTTATTTACTATCAAGACTTGAAAGGAAAAAATGAAAAGATATTTGATGTGGATAATATCGATGCTATTGATGACACGACATCCAAAAATTGGTTTGCTTTCGATAAAGAACAATTTCAAACTGTGTAACGATACGCCCGGAATTACGTATCGTTCCTGGTAAAGATCCGGATGCCGCCGACCGTCAGGCGAAGGGTGGGCGCGAGGCGCCCACCGATAAACGCACGCAGCGAGCGCCCGCTCGGCGAAACGATCGCCGGCGGGAACGACCGAAGCAAAGCGAACCGAACACACGAGGACCGCTGTCACGCGGATCCACGCCGCGCACGCGCACATACACGCTACCCCGGCATCTACCCCCGATTTTTACTTAATTGTAATAACAATTGGGGGTTGACGGGTACAAAAGATGGGCCCAGAGCCAAAAAGGCAGATTCCGCCGCCCGCCTAGTTCCGATCCGAAACAAAGCCAGCTCTAAAGGCTCGCGTGTTTATTTCGGCGTCGTGAATACGGGCCGTTTAAATGGCCTACGTGTCGCGGCGCAAGTACGGGCCGTATGAATGGCCGGTCGGCACGTCGGTATCGCGGCGTAAACACGGATCGTATCGGGCTCGGTTCGGCGTGGGTAATCGGCGGCTTTTCCCGATGTGAGATCCCGTGGATGGTTTTTACGGTTGGCGGTGCGGTCGTGCCGGATGCCGGTATGACCCGACGGGGGCGAGTCACTCCTCACCTCCTTCTCAGTCCGGGCACACCGGGGTGTCCTGGATCCGATGCACCGGTGGACAGCAGTAAAGCCCGCTGGGAGTGAGTAACACCTCACCTCGCTTCACCGGGATCGGGTTAAGGATTGCGAAAGGCTGCGGTCTTCTAGAGCGGAGCCGAGAACACTCGGCAGAGGCGAGTCACTCCTTACCTCGGATCAGCGCTATCGAGAGCAGGCTTTTGCGGATAGGATTCTTAAGCCTCACCTACAATAGTCGCACAGGTTGTGTCGCATGTCGTACGAGAATGTCGTAAGTTATTTTTTCCGGTCGTAAGGCTGTCGCAGTCGCAGAAGCCCCTGTCGCACGGAGTTGAACCAACTTCAACTTTCTGCGACTGCGACAAGCGTGTCGCATGAGATCAGCCAATCATAGTACGTTGGCGCTAAAAGTGATCCCTGAGCTGCTTTCGCGAGAAGATCAAAATGATCCGGATTAAAATGACCCTGTGCTATTGGTCAAATCTGAAATTTCGTAGCATCACATTGAAATTTTATTCAATGAAATTCCATATTTGACCAATCATAGCACAGGGTCATTTTAATCCGGATCATTTTGATCTTCTCGCGAAAGCAGCCCTGATAGCACATAAGTCTCAGTTATGTTGCAGTTATGTTGCAAAGACGGTTCAATGTCTTTGCAACATAACTGAGACATAACTGACAATGAGACTTGTCGTGCTATCAGGGATTTGCCTTGTGTTGCTAGCAGCTAGCTGATCCGGTAGTGAATTTTCTTATTAATGTCTTGGATTGAGGACGACTCCTTTTTAACAATCGAGGACGAACGAGTTTATAAAGATTTCTGAATTGATATGGCCACATTCTGGTCCAGTCAAAAAATTGTTCGTGATCTGTTTCCATCAGCTCACGAAAATAGGTTAAATGGAACCCTTTGGAACACCGTTTTTCTTCACTATTTACTGGTCGTACCCACCATCTTCTGTTGTTTGATTCAATAAGCAAACGGCAATATAAAGACAGTAAATTTAAAAATTGGGAGCAAAGTTGTAGAAAGATTAATAATCGCCGGGCATCCATTGTGGCTGCGATCGATTTGACGCTATCGCGAATCTTTGCGACTATTGTAGACACTCGTTCAGCGACACTCTTACGACATGCGACAAACTTTCCTGCGACATTATTACTCACGACATGCGACACAACCTGTGCGACTATTGTAGACGAGGCTTAAACCGCTCACGGCCGCGCCCGTACCGCGCACGCGTCGCGCTGCGCGATCGTCGCTGTCGCATACGCGATCACTTGTATATACCGCCTTGTAAATACCATCAACGTATAACTTGTAATAAATCCATTGTTTTGTACAAATTGTCGTCCAAAGTAAATCGTGCCCTGACTTCCACGCGAACTCTGGTCCGGCGAGCTCGTCCGGTTTGCTAAACACCATAACGGGGAGTCGTTTCAACTGTATGCAGTTTTTCCGTAACATGTCAGCCTAAGCACGTTGCCGTTTTACTTTGTAAAATGCGAACTTCTCTTTCTGATGAACAACTTTCATTTTTATTCAGTGTTTGTCGGAGGACTATTACAAATCATATGAATTCAGCAAGAGAAGATTTGCAAAAGAACCTCGTTCCACAATTCATCAATCGGAATGATCGTTCAGTATTCCTTGCTCATACGACACCAATGTCAAAAGTACTATTCGACATTCCCGACAATAAAGCCTGCATAGTATTCGATGCCACCTATGGCCTGGCCCAAAATTCTGCGAATTATGCAGGACAAAAACATCTGTGAAGTGAGCAGAAAAATGCCGCTGGTCAAACCTAAGTAGGTTGCTCCTCAGATGGTTTCGTTCTATATGTTTTTGGACAACTTTGATACAACGCATAATGATGCGACAATATTGCAGGATTGTTTCCAGAGATACACGAACGAAATGAGTACTATTCATGAGGGTGATACGATATTAGTTGATAGAGGTTTTTGTGATGTGCTGAATATCCTAACTGAAGAGAAGAATTTGAAAGCTCGAGAACTCGGCCCACTTAATACAGCAGAAGCACATGCTTCAAGATGTGTAATCAAATGTCGGTGGGTGATAGAGCAAGTCTTCGGTCGCCTCAAGAAGAAATTCAAGATTTTTTCTTTGCCAGCACATAATACAACTCTCAAACACGATCTCGATTCTTTCTATATCGCGTTTGTTCTTTTAAATTTATTCCACAAACCAATTCTGAGTGATGTCTTGCATGAAGACATAGCACAGACTCTGAAATCTCGACTTAACGTCTCTAATCGTTCGCAAATCATCGTCCAAGAATTTAATCTTCCTCAACTGACAAGGGGAACACCAGGTAGTGGCCGCACCGATTTTCTCCAACTTCATATATGTTGTAGTATCAATCCCCAACTACTTTATGTGGCACATGATATAGCTACATACTCACGTATTCGCGAGAAATTTGCATTACAAATTTTTCGTTCGCGTTGATTCGAGTATGCGAGCGAGGCTAGCAGATAGCAAGCGTAGCCTAGCGGATAAGGCGACGGACGAGAATTCTGTATGTTGCAGGTTCGAATCCTACCTTTTCCCAACTTTTTTTAAAATAAATTTTTACAAAATCTGGATTAAAGTAAATGATTAGACAATGTAGAGTTGTTGAATAAAAAAATTAGTGTTTTTATTATTAAATTTCATATTGTATATTAACATGAATACGTAGTTTCGTCTGCAACTATACGAATATCAAAATTCGATTGATATCGATAATTAATAAAAAAAACTCCATAATCACATTTACAATATTTTTACTTTATTTTTATATGTATTTATTCAGAATCTTTACATATTTGTGGATGATAATCATCAAAGAAACATTTGAAGCATAATGTCGATTTACATCGAACACATTGAATAAAACATATATCTTTTAAGGGGTTACACCACTTTAGAAATTTCAAAAAATCGAAAAAATTTTTATTCGTTTAAATTATAGTTCATAGTCTTAAAAATAAAGTTTTTTTTGTCGGAATGTAAAATTTGAATTATTTACGACTGTACAGCCGATTAAAGGAAAGCGCGCCGGTGCGCCACAGGCAGACTTCGAACGGTTCGGAGCGGTTTTCTCGAAACCATGTTTTTCAAATTGCACAGTGGGCCAGCAGACCTAAGAAAGTGGCCAAAATACTGAAAGTACTCTAATTGTGGTGAAAATGGATATTCAAAGGATTTTGAGATAGCTGAGTTCGAATTCTCAGATTTTAGAAATTCAAAATGGCGGATCCAAAATGGCGGATGGAAATATACACTTACTGCAAACCCTGATGGAAAAATTTTGCTGAAAATGTAATGAAATTGATGAAAAGTGAAATGAAAGTTATTGGAAACTTGTTGAAACCATTTCAAAATAAATCATAAGTTTCGTTATGAAATTCAATGAAATACTGTGAAATTAGATGAAAGTTAATTAATATTACTAAAAATTAGTGAAAAAAATTTTGAAATGTTGTATATTATAAAATTTGCAGAATTTCACTGAAAATAAATTTTTTAATGAAAAATTGCTGAAATGATAATGAAATTGGGTCAATTGCAAGGGATTTTCAACCAAATTTCAGCAAATTTCATTACGTTTTCAGCAAATTTTTTCCATTAGGGAAAATTATAGTTTTCAGGATCCATCACGTGGATATTGCAATACGATTTAAGATCTCTTATTTTTTTATTATGGGTTCCCCTCGCCTCTCG